TTTAATTTATGCTTAGATGTGATGCACTAATTAGGTTGAAAATCCTCCATCCAGTATTGTCATCCCTTTGGCAATTAGTACTGGATTGATATTAAGTATGCTATTATGCTTATGTGATAATAATTTTTGTTGTTTTAGTTGTCATAATAATAATAGGAATCACTTCTTGTATTGCCGTTCTGTTGATTGTTACAATTTACAAGCGAAAGAAGAAGCAGCCATACAATGAAGAACATGTGCTTTCTCAACACAATCCAATGTATAATGATAATGATGAGATTGAAGATGCTCCAAAAAAAGAAACTGAAAACTAAGTTCAATCCAATGAGTATAGTTCCTAGCTGAAAGCAGCTGTTTTTAGTTAGATTTAGATGGTTCTTGTTATGTCTGTATTAATTTTTATTCTTTACTGTTTAGTTTCTTGATAGACTTAAATAGAGACTTGAATAGCAAAATTTTTATTCTTGTTGGATTTTTTACATGTGCATAGAGCTACATGTTTAATATATCACTATTATTACTTTGGCCTTTATATATATCTGTTTTTTGATTAAATGTTTTCTTTTTGGAGCATATGATGATTTGATCCTCTTCCCGGTACACTCTTCTGCATAGAAGAGGTGTGAATTAGTCTCAGTATCATAAACTGTGAGGAAAATTTTGATTTATTACTGTGTTTTTGGTGCTCTGTTATTTATTGTGACTTTCAGTAAATCTATATCTAATACTTAAATTAGGGTACATAGAATATCAGAGTACATGGGAATTGTATACTTAAATTAGGGTACATAGAGTATTGGAGTACATGGGAATTGTATACTTAAATTAGGGTACATAGAGTATCAGAGTACATGGGAATTGTTAGCTCTACTACAAGTTTAGTGAAGCAGGTAGTTTAGTACAGAGTAACAATAACTGCCAAAGAAAAGCTCAGCAGATATTATAACTGCACAATCAGTGTTGTCAACAACTTGTTTTTAGAACTGTTAGACAAATGTTGATAGTAGATCCATAGATACTATCATACTACAGATCTATACACTAGTACGATTTATTCTGGCGGGCTATATAGCAGCGTTTATGTGGGTGTGGCTTGTTTTATGTAATATAATTCTATGCCAGTACTATACCATAGCTATACTAGATTATTCTGAAGCAAGCGTCTGGGTAGTGTCCCCAATGATGGCCCATTCAATAACATTATTTTCTGCTGTATTTTTTCTTTTCTTCATTGCATTCAGTCCAGTTGTGGAATGCCAGTAAGTCATTTTAGCTTGAGATGCATTATTACATTCTTTTCAGGAACTGCACATATTTTCGTAGTAGAGTTTCTACTTACACATCATATCGGCAATCATATTATACTAGTCAGCAAAGAGACTACTATTCATGTGGGTTTTGGGGGCTGAGTAGATGTACTAGATATTATACTAGGTAATTTAGTAACAAAATATTAATAAATTGCATTCAATCAGTTATTTCTATTTATATTTAGGTATAACTACTACAGGCAGTCCTATGTGTCATATAGAACAGTATATTATTATACCAGTGATTGCTGCAGTGGATATGCATTAGTCAATGGACAATGCAGAGGTAATAGACATTTTGTTTCTTATGTGTTTGATTGCGTATGCATGCTTTTCTTAGTGGGAGCAAAAAGTTAAAGTGCATAATATTGCTTAATTTTTATCTTGTTTACCTTATAGTTTAATAACAATTCCTTTTGTAGCTCAATGTTCTCAGGGCTGCATTTATGGGTATTGTAGCAGCCCTGATGTGTGTAGCTGTTATTCTGGTTGGACTGGATATTCATGTCAAACAGGTAATAGTAAGAGAGTATGTAATGAATTCTTGGTAATATCATTGCATATGCACCCCACACAAAGCATCTTAAAATATCTTTTATGTTCGTTGTGTCATTTGTATCATTTTACTATTAGTTTACACAAATGTTATTATATTATCTGCTACAGATATTAATGAGTGTACTAATGGCAAAGTTACAATTGGAATTGGCAGTGGAAGTCACTGGTGTGAGCAGCGATGCATTAACAGACCAGGAAGTTACTCATGTGGTTGTCATAATGGATACACAATTCATACAGACTATCAAAGGTGTACAGGTACAGCAGCTCAATTTAAAGCATGTACATTTAATTGTTACTATATTAAAATAACAGATGTTAATGAATGCCTTAATAATAATGGTGGCTGCAATCACACTTGTACTAACACTGTGGGGTCATACAACTGCTCCTGCTATGATGGATATCAATTATTAGAGGATCTCTCTTCCTGCATGGGTAATATTATAATAAAACAAAAATAACTGTTATTATTTGCTTAAGATCATTGTGAATGCTGTACTGGTGATAATGTAATAAATTGACAATGTAATAATTGATAATAATTGTCTAATGTAATAAACTGAGCCCTGAATTTGTACAAGTAGTATTGTTATCTACTATGTCTATTGTGTTATTTGTATTTTTACTATTAGTTTACACAAATGTTATTATATTAATCTCTGTTTAATCTTGTTCAGATATTAATGAGTGTACTAATGGGCATGTCTCAATTGGTCTTCCACAAATAAATGGGAGTGGAAGTGGATTAGATCTAATAGTACCAACGGATCACTGGTGTGAGCAGTTATGTATTAACAGACCAGGAACTTACTCATGTGGCTGTTATGATGGATATTTGATAGATACAGACAATCAAACATGTACAGGTACAATTTAAAGTATATGTATTTATTATGTTAACACAATTAACAGATATTAATGAATGCCTTTATGATAATGGTGGCTGCAATCATACTTGTACTAACACTGTGGGGTCATATAGCTGCTCCTGCTATGATGGATATCTTTTATTAGACGATAAATCCTCCTGCATAGGTATATAATATTATAATAAAACAACAATATGTTATAATTTGCTTAAGATCATTGTGAATGCTGTACTGGTGATGATGACTGCCAGCATACGTGTCATAATACTATTGGAAGCTATTATTGTACATGCTTGTCAGGATATAGAGTTTCTGCAACTAATTCAAGTGCATGTGAAGGTACATCAGTAGTACAATGCTTTGTAACTAATTTTATTATTTCATCATAGATATTGATGAATGCATGGAAGGTAGTTCAAATTGTAGTCAGATATGTATGAATGAGATAGGGGACTACAACTGTTCATGTTTAAATGGATACATTTTACTTTATGATGATTATACATGTGAAGGTTAGTTCACAGACATTACATATCTAAATTAGTAGTTCATCATTAGATGTTGATGAATGTGAGGACGGCAATGGAGGATGTGAAGTGTACTGTACCAATACTAATGGTTCATATTACTGTAGCTGTGATGAAGGCTACTATGTTAGCTATAACCATTCATGTGAAGGTAATGATGATATATTTTATTATAGGGACATGATACTTACACCAACCTGTGCATTTTTAGCAACTGTAACACAACATAAACACATGTATGTGTATCAATAAATTATAAAATTGAATTTGGCTGAAAAACCTGTACTATAGTCCAAAGACTTTGCCCCAATTTTTTAGTAACTTAAAAATTTGTAAAAAATTATTTTTGATTCAAATCAGCTCAAACTTTCCATGTAACATATGTACATGTTTATGAATGGATCAGAAAAAATTATAAAAATGTAGAACTCTCTCCTAACCATTTTTGACAGAATACCCTAGATCAGGTTTTTTCTACAAAGCTCTATTGAGCAAGCTAAACAACATCTCATGAGCTAACAAGCATGTACTGGGAAACCCTGATTGTCACACTTCCCATCTATTGCATGTACATACGATCATTTAATGTTGCTGGGGTAGACTGAGTTTTGTCAGTAGTAGTCAGTACAATTACAATTACAAGTATGTAATTATAATTAAAAATTGGCCCTTTAATTTGTAATTAGTTAAAATTGTAATTGACTCCAGGTCTGGTGTCAACATTAATTACCATTTATCTTTTAGATGTTGATGAGTGCGCTGATGAGATATCTGGATGTTCTCAAATTTGTATCAATACTAATGGTAGTTATACATGTACTTGTGATGATGGTTATCAGCTCAGTAATGATAATCACACTTGTACTGATATTGATGAGTGTACTATTACTGATAATGGAGGATGTGAACAAATATGTATTAATACTAATGGAAGTTTTGCTTGTTCTTGTACATCAGGATACCAACTATTATTGGATAAATTTTGTACTGGTGAGATTATCTGGTAATAGTATTATTATATTATATTTAAACAGATATAAATGAATGTACTATGTATAACGGTGGATGTGAACAATACTGTCATAACAATGTTGGAAGTTACAGTTGTTCCTGTAACAATGGCTTTAATTTAAATACTGATAATCATCATAATTGTACAGGTAAAAATAAGTTGTTTTAATGTTTTATTTATCGAATCAATTCAATTAGATATTAATGAATGTAGCACTAATAATGGAGACTGTGAACAAGAGTGCTTAAACACTATCGGAAGCTTTTACTGTGCTTGTACCTCTGGATACAACTTAATGTCAGGAAAATATTGCTCTGGTAAGATCAGTGGTATTGATATTGCTGGATAATGCTTTTTTGCCAGATATCAATGAGTGCTTAACTAGTAATGGGGGATGTGAGCAAAATTGTCATAACAATGCTGGAAGTTATAACTGCTCCTGTAATACAGGCTTTACTATAGACTCTAATGGGCACAGTTGCACTGGTAAGATAATGAATCAATGATAGCACAAATAATATTGTTCTAATGTTTATTACTTATTAAGATACTAATGAAT